TTGGCTGAGCTTCGCCTACGCTCTCATTTGGGGCGTTAACCATTAGTCTTTCATTCATTCGGACTCGTGGAAATATAAAATATGGTGGAACAAATTGACCTCCAGCGCTCATTGCAAAAAGCACCGTCACGTTCTTTCCACGTTCTGCTGAAGTCAGTTTTCCTACTTGTTTTTGGTTTTTAGTAGCTAAAACTTTGGCATGTTTTTGGACAATGCTGACACCAGTCTCGTCGCAATTCCATATTTTATAAGGAGTGAATTTAAACCTCTGTATCAAAGTCTCTAAACCATCAAAGAAACGCTCAACCTGAGGTCTGTTAAATCCTACTGCTCTCATTAAGCTCGTTGATTCAGCACTCCGCAATGATAAATCACTATGTCTTTTCATAAAAGAATAATAATAGTTTTTCCCTGCCATTTCTTTTTCTTTATTAAACTGGTGAGGTAACTTCAACTTCTCTGCCAGTTGAAAAGCAAGACGTAAAAATTCTTGCCTGTTTAAAGGCATTAGTCTATTGGCCAAGTCTTTAACATGTGTCGCCAATGTTTCTTCATGTTCAGGTGAAAAAGTATTGTGAAAACGACCCATAACTGGCTCAATGGATATCTCTTTATTATTTTTAATAGCACTTACTCTGTCATTCAATGTAGTTCGTGGTATCTGATAGCGTTCGGCAGCTTGGCGTGCACTCATCTCATTATTCAGTACCTTTTCCACGGCTTTTCGCATGTTCGCAGGATCCCAGCTGCCCTTTTTTTGCCTCACATGAACATTATTTTTATCACTTGGCATTTTTGCGTACCTGTAAGTAAAAGAAATCTTTTAAAAACGAACTTTATTATTGGCCGGTACTGCAGGACAATGCAGTGGCCGGTACTGGAGGAAACGAAAAAAAAAAAGTTTGTTTACAGGTAAAAACAAACGCACAAATATTGATTTAAAGTATACTTTTTTATAGTTATATAAGTACACTATACATACCAGGAGTTATTTGTTTTAAACTGGATCTTTAAATGTTGAAAATCACCAACAGAATTTTAAATATGCAGTGTACGTCTATGATGCCCAACACAAATCTTTGCACTGACAAGAATCCTGTCGCGACAAGTTGACACCGCGCTGGGCTTGTACTTATAGGAGTGTCTCGCACTAATACCGATAATCATCACCGTACCATCTATTATAGGTTTGTAGAACTTTCAACGGTACTGTATGCCGGCCGGTACTGTGGGACTCTCCCCTACAAGTATGAGGCGTATAGAAGCCTCTGAGATGTGGGTTTTTCGAAGGATGCTGAAGATCTCTTGGACAGAGCACGTGACCAACAACGAGGTGCTAAGAAGAATTGGTACTGAGAGAGAACTCCTAAATATTGTAAAAAATAGAAAAACGAATTATCTAAGACATATTTACAGAGGAGAAAAATACAACTTCCTACGACTTATAATGGAAGGGAAAGTGGAAGGAAGAAGAGGTCCAGGAAGAAGAAAAGGCTTCTGGTTGAAGAATGTAAGAGACTGGACAGGTATGGACACACATTCGATACTAAGAACAGCCCAAGACAGAGAGCAATTTGCTGCAGTTATAGTCAACCTTCAGTAATGGAGAAGGCACCTTAAGAAGAAGTGTAAAACATAGTATTGAGGAGCTTTTTAACGACTATAGACAAAGAATTCATCTTCAACGAACGTACGCAAATTAAAGTGCCTACATAACAAAGAAAGAAATTCAGTCAATGAGCTGAAATACAATATTAAAATAAAGAGAGGGGTTCGTTAAGATTGTATGCCCTCGCCAATCCTTTTAAATATATACCTACTTGGAAGCCCAATAATTATTCTGAGATATGCAGACGATACATGACTGATTTCTAATTCTACTAAAGAATATGGCCTCTCGCTAAATACGAACAAAACAAAATTGTATGCTTGTAAGAAAATAAACCCGGAATATGGGAAATATATATCTACTTACGTACATAACCAGCCGATTCAGAGAGTGACAAGATGCAATTATTTACGTAACTACACTTTTCAACGAAAATGTTGACAACTCTCAAGAAATAAAGATCAGAAATGAAAATTCCCTGTGTACATTTATGAAAACGAAACAAGTAGGTATTGTGTAGTTGAAATTTAATTTATGAATTAAAGATAGTTAATATTAAGAAAATGGTGTGTAAAGGGGTAGTGAAGCGCAATACATGATGTCGTATGCTGTTGGCATCACTTAGCCTCTCCTACTCAATTCCTATCTTCACCTCCAAGCTGGTACACACCGGTAACCTGAGCAACCCAACTGGAGACTGGGTAACCAACCCCAGTGGATGATGGGGTAAGAGCAGACGAAGAAGGGAGCCTTCGTCCTCCGATGAAAAGGGGGTTGAGCGAAGGGTTAACAACCCTTCCTTGTAGAACTCAATTGTTGCGAATACAATGGCTAATGAAACAAACGGACGGATCTCACAACGACGAACTCAGCACAGAAAAATGGACATGATTATGGATTTAAAATTTGGAACCTGGAACGTGCGAACCTTCTTAAAGGCAGGAGCTATGATAAGTATGGCAGAAGAACTTGAAAAATACGGAGTTGAAATATTGGCACTGCAGAAAATCAGATGGAAGAGCCAGGGAGAAATTCATAAGAATAAATTCTCACTATACTACTCCGGAAATGAAATGAGACAAGGTGAAGGAGGAGTAGGATTTATGGTAACCAAAAAACTACGGAAAGCCATTATCGCATTTACACCAATATCAGATAGAATTTGCACCATAAGATTTAAAGGTAAATTTCATAACGTGACAATGGTTAATGTATATGTACCGACGGAAGTGGCTGATGAAGAAGCGTTGAAAGATTCTACGGAGAACTACAGGATGTGTGTGATAAAATCCAAAGACACGATGCTGTTATAACGTTAGGCGATTTTAATGCTAAACTGGGGAAAGAAGAAACGTTTGCAAATATATTTGGGAAACACAGTTTGCACACTGAAACCAGTCAAAATGGACTCAGGGTGGCACAGTTCGCAGCAGCAAATAATTACGTAGTTGTCAGTACTAACTTCCAGAGAAAAGATATCCATATGGAACATGGAAAATACCAGGAACTAATGAAGCCAATCAAATTGACCATATACTCATCTCAAAAAGATGGGCTGCTTCGACTTATAATGCAGCAATAAATCATCGGAAGAAGATCAATAGGAAGGAAAAGACATTCCTGATATTGTTCTAAAACTATTTTCTTGTGGCATTCAAAACAACAAACACGTGGTGATCTATTTTGTCCAAAACCAAACCTAACAATGAACAAGAAAGGACAAAGAATTGCATCTATAAAATACCTTGTGAATGTGATCAGTTTTATTTAGGTGAAACATCAAGGCCATTAAATGTTAGAATAAGTGAACATCAATCTTATATTAAAAATACAGACTTTGATAGATCTCAAATATGTAAACACACATGCGATAGTGAACATAGGGTTCAATGGAATAATTCAAATGTAGTCCTAAAAGAAACGGATGGTAAAAAAAGAAAAAACAAAGAAGCGGCTCTAATTATGCTAAGTGAGACCAATTGTGTCGCAAATTCCTCGGCAGAATGTAGTAGGATCTGGTTACCCATATTGAAAGAGGAAGTTATTAAAACCAGTATTAGTAAGTCAGTAACATATAGAGGATACATCATTTGTTTTTTAAATAACAAACATATAAAATCAGAATTTGGTGTTTATTGAAGGTAAACTACTTGGCACGACCAAATACTTACCACTTCGGGATAGTATTATGAGGTTTTTTTCCTGGTTTTTCCCTCATAATTTACTATGGACTCACTAACAGGAGAATTTTACTGTCATCATGGCATGTGTTTGTCTTTTTAAAGACGAATTACATGCTATGATTTGTTCTGACGGATATTCAGTCAAGTTGATTTCATGTAATCAATATAAATGAGTCAGATAAAATTAAATTATTAGAAGAATTTTTCACTAAGTAACAAAAAAACAAAATTTGTTTAATTTACTGTTTGTATTTTGATAAAGATTTCCGAAGTGGAAATTGAAACGCCAATAAACATATCTTAACCTTTAATTGTGACTTATTCCCAGTTAAATAGTAATTATAAGTTATTACTGGTTGAAAAATCTGTTTGAATGGTTTAACACCACTAATAACCATCTATACAGAGCCTCGGTCATGCGAAAGTATGAAGAGCTTTGATGATTGCCAACCTTCGGAACCACAAACCACTGTGTTTGGAACGAAGGTGGTACTTAAAGAAGAAATATGCTTAAGAATTGCAACTACAAGCAATATGGCAGTATTGTGTTTACAGACCAACCACTGGAATTTCATACTAGTTTATAAACTAACATATAAGCTAATGATTTATTAATGTGGCGATACCTATGTAACTACAATAATCTGAGTGTTAAATACGATAAGAAGATTGTCATATATAAAGATCTCGAGACTCAAATAAGGACACTGGCAAATGAAGAATGGAAAGTACATTGATGATACTCACTCAACTATCAATGCTTAACTGCAATTATCCTCTTAATTACTTGAGTCATTCTGACAAACATACTAGACAACATTCAAACAGTCTTAGTGAACATAACCATCAATACATGAACCATTTCATAGAGGGGTAGGATTTGTTAGTGTCATTGATGTGTGTCAACTACAGTGTTGCTTGATATTCAATGACAGCAGTGACGTTGCATAGCTACAGCCACCAAGACCCATACTAACTATTCACTCTCTCATCTGGGCTTGGGACTGGCAATGGCAGAGTTCACTGACAGATGATCACTGTTATATGGCACATATTTTGCTCATCTGTTTATTGTTTTTCTATACTCTGGACAAAAGTATACTTTACTTTAAAGCATTTCACATTTTTTGAAACACTATTTTTAACATAATTTCTCATGGTATTTTTCCAAGGATTGTTAAATAATCTCTATGGTTGTCTGACAAAAATAACACTAAAATTTTGATTTTTATTAAAAATATTTAATACAAAACACCAGAATTTAACTAACATTAATACTTTTTTAAAGTTTTTCTTATAAGCGCAATTCTCTGTTTATGTGCTTCAGTGGTTAGACTTCTCTTATAAGGCCTCAATTCATCTGTACCAAAACCAGGTGTCCACATATTGTAATTTCTGTTTAAAAATTGCTGCACATCTTTAACCTCGATTGTGGTGTTGTGGCGATTTTTGGCAATCAGAGCTGCACCATTAAGGCATCTATCAACAAATTCATCAACATAACCTAAAATGATTTCTTCTACTTCTTCCTCAAGATTAAGTGTTTGATCTGTTTCTCTAACAAGATCCTGAAGACGTTGTTTGGTTAATACCTGTAGGGGTTCACTTGATGATGTACTGTTTTGCTGAATGATTTTTTGTGCAGGCTGTGCATTTTGGACTGGCATGTTTTGGACTTGTATATTCTGTACTCCTACTAAATTTGTACCTACAAAAGAAGGAAATTATTAAAGATATATAAAGTAGGTATATGAAGCTAAAATATTAAAACATTACTATACTATTCGAATTAATTGGGACAAACATGTTTTTCTTATCTGAATTAGTATGTGATTACTGGTGATCTTCCGAACCACCTCAAAGTGGTTATACCTGCTTAGAGGCACAGTAACAGGTCTACTTTGACTATAATTTACTAGTTTGGCTGGTTTTAGAGTGTCAGTAGTTCAGTTGCAAGAATTTTTGTTTAGCAGCTGTTGGTTATAATGGCGTGTTCTGTGTAATACTTATTATTTTTGCTTGTTCAAAGATGGATATTGCTCCTACCAAGCTTGTTAAAGTACTCACTCTTAATGAACATAGGTCTATGACTGTGAGAGATAGGGCTACAGCAGTTGGAGTGGGAAAATCAAGTGTTTGAAGAATTTTAATAACATTTCAAGATTTCAGATCATCCTCTCCAAAACGAAAAGGAAAACAGCTCCAAGAACTGATAAAATTCTAATAAGAAGTAGCAAACTAAATCCAAGAAACACAAGCACGGAATTTAGAAGGGATCTATTGGATTATAGTGATAAGAAACTACCTTAACTGTATGGAAAAAGCTACAGGAAATTGACTGGAAGGCAAGAAAAGTAAAGAAAAAACAATTCCTAACACAGAAAACTAAGAAAAACCCCTATTCTGCAGTCATATAAATCAAGTTTGATTAGATGAAGCGAAGGTGAACCTCTGCAATAAGATCATATCTGACACACTGCTAAATACCCTACTGAACAGTTGTTTTGAGCTTTTTATATACATTGAAATATTACACAGAATGATTGTTCCATTAATCAAAAACATTAATGGACATTAGGCCCCTTGTCCCAATTCAAAATTGGTACAAACTTTTATGAGTAAAAATAAAGTAAAAGTGCTTGATTGATTTGATAATCCACCAGACCTAAATCACATAGAGAATTTATCCCATATTCTCAAGAAATGTTTCAAAATGAAATTCTCAAAATGAAAACTAAGATGAATTGCATTACAAAGAAAAAATGATAAAAAGTGCTACACATGTGTGGTTCTATGATGAAGTCAAGAATGTGTGTGCTAAACTAGTGGAGTCAATGCCAAGATATGTTGCAGAGGTCATTTCTGCTAGGGGAGGACATACTGAGTACTAATACATAGATTTTTCAGGCTATGTATGGAATGTAATGATTAACAGCTAAGCTTTAAAAAAAATTGTCTTTTTTTCATTTGTCCCAATTAATTCTAAAAGTATAATCTGTATAAATGGTTAAAAAAATCTAACAAACGCAAACATTATTTTTAAATTAAAACAAGATTTCCTCGTAACAGCAACAGGCACATATCTAAGCATAAAATCAGTCAGTAAGTACTGCCTCCAATGGTGTTTCTTTATAATGTCCTTTATATTTTATATCTATACCAAAGCCCATGTCACAGTATTCCTTCATTATTTAAAGAATATAGACGCATATGCATACTTTATCATATTTTACCAAAGTGTGACTTTAGCCAGTGAAAAACTACTGCAAATTCAATTATTATTAATGAATCAACTAAAATACTTATTGCTACTAATAATTCAAATGTGATCATACATTTACCTCCCATTGAATCGACAATAGGTATTCCAGTCTTGATATCTTCATTGTGGTCATTGGAATTTGTATGAGGTATAGCATTAACTACAGGAACCCCATTATTAACATTTGTCATTATTGTGTGAGTTATGGGAACTTGATTTATCACTATATTTTGTTGCTGCATCAAGCTATTCGTTAAATTGGGTACAGACATATTTTAAACTAATTATTGTGATTCTCTTCGCTGAATTATTCCATATAATGACTATCAAGAATAGAAATAGATTTTTGTAAACTTTCAACTTTCTCTATTATGACGTTTTAAGTTTGACATTTGACATTTATTGTCATACTGTCCTTGATTGAACCATTTCGTTCATAGGCAATTTCTACATTATTATGTAGTGACCTCATTGAATGTTGATATGATTTAATATTATGATTGAATTTTTCTTCACACTTCATATTTTTGACATTTAATTTTTCGTGTATATAATTCTGAATCATACGTATGTCATACATTTTTTATAATAGTCATAAGTTAGTTAGTTTACTGTAAACCCAATGACGTCAATGTATAAACTCTAATAAAAACAGATGGCGGCATGGCGGATGACAGTGACAGCTGCTTGTTGATGACATTCAAATGTAAATATTGCTATTGTAGTAATACTAAATGGAATATTGATTATTAAAACAGAATATAAGTATCAAATACAATGGTATATAATGGTTTATAAGTGAGACTAGTTAAACAGTGAATTAAACATTAAAACCAAACACAATGAGCAACCTGACAGCGGCAGATGCAAGTGCTCTAACACTGGAAATAGGCCCCTTTGAAACTGTTCATAGATGGAAACGAATGCCAGAATGTGACGAATTTGTGGGTGCTAGGTACGTACATAATTTATTTTCACGAGAATATATATCACGTTTATGTTTTTAGGAGAAGTAAACATACTGTGGTAGCATATAAAGATGCCATTTATGTATTTGGTGGAGATAATGGAAAGAGCATGTTAAACGATCTTCTGAGATTTGATGTTAAAGAGAAAAGCTGGGGAAGAGCTTTTGCTACTGGATGTCCCCCAGCTCCGAGGTTGGTACCAGCAAAGATTTGAATTCCATACAATATACATTTTAATTATTAAATATATGGTTTTGTTAATAAAATAAAATGAAATATTAATAATCTCTAATAATTGTTATTTGTTAGATACCATCACTCTGCTGTAGTCCACAACACATCTATGTTTGTTTTTGGAGGATATACTGGTGATATTCATTCTAACTCTAATCTTACAAACAAAAATGATTTATTTGAGTATAAATTTCATTCTGGACAATGGATAGAATGGAAATGGTTTACAGGGCAAACTCCTGTTCCAAGATCAGCTCATGGGGCTGCCATTTTTGATAACAGACTCTGGATTTTTGCAGGATATGATGGGAATGCCAGATTAAATGATATGTGGACTATACCACTATTTGTAAGTTATACAACTTTACTTCTGTAATAGTATTCACTATATATGTGTGTTTTATTGTCCTAGTTTTTAGATCATTAGGTTGTTCATGTATTATTGAAAAACTTTTCCCTCTATTTGAAGCTTTCATTTAATCAAATCATACATTTTGTTTTGTTTGTAGGTATTATCAATTTCTGCTTTTTAGTTAATTGTTATTTTTTAAATTAGGGTGAGGCAAAAAGTTGGGAAGAAGTTGACCAAAAAGGAGAATGTCCACCAACTTGTTGTAACTTTCCAGTAGCAGTAGCTAGAGACTGCATGTTTGTCTTCAGTGGTCAAAGTGGAGCAAAGATAACTAATTCTCTCTTTCAATTCAGTTTTAAAGAAAAAACGTAAGTACTGTTTTAATTTTGTGTTTGAATATCTTTATTTTTCCTTATTGTTATTAGACATACTTTTCTGCTCATTTTATACTTTTTTTACAGTTGGACACGAATATCTACAGAACACATACTGCGAGGAGCTCCAGCTCCACCAGCTCGTCGGTATGGTCACACAATGGTGGCATTTGACAGACACTTGTATGTATTTGGGGGAGCAGCTGATTCTACTCTCTCCAATGATCTCCATTGTTTTGATTTAGACTCACAAAAATGGTCTGTTGTTTTACCAGATGTAGAATCATTTGTTCCATCTGGTAGATTGTTCCATGCAGCAGCTGTGGTTGGAGATGCTATGTTTATTTTTGGAGGCACTGTGGATAATAATGTTAGGAGTGGGGAGATGTACAGGTAAATCTTTAATTTTATGTTATTCTTTGCGAAGATACTTTACAAAGAAAACCAATTCATAAAGAATGAATAAAGTAAAATTTACTTGAGGTATAACAAATTTGTTTGAAAATTTGTCAATAGAATAGTGGTGTGAATAATTCAAAAGATTCAGCTATTATTTCTAATAATAGGAATTGGAGGAGGAGGCGTTTGTATTAGGCAGATAATAACTTAATATGTTTAAATTCAAAATGTAATTGTTTGTACCATTACTGTATTATTTATACTGTTTGATATTGTAGATTCCAATTTTCAAGTTATCCAAAATGCACCCTACATGAAGATTATGGAAAATTGCTTGAAACAAGGATGTTCTGTGATGTACAGTTCATGGTAGGTCCAGAAGAACAAAAAATAACTGGACATGTAGCATTAGTGGCTGCAAGATCTGGTTATTTAAGGAAACTGATTAGGCAAGCAAGAGAAAACCGGGATTTGCATTTGGAAAGGTTATTTGGTAAGTGATCAAATCAGTAAAAAGATAAACTTTTGAAATGTTATTGAATTTTGACCAAGAAACCTATAGTTTCATTTGCCTAACTGTATTTGACTTTGGTTCTAAAAAATAATTGTCAAAGAAATATAAATAAGATTATACTATTAGTGTGCCTTTGGGATTATAGTAGAGTAGACTCTTATCTTTTGGATGAATATACAAAGGAAGTTAACAGAGCCAGCTTAAATTCTTATTCCTAGACTGCTTGTGTATTGATATAACAACTTCAAAACTTCTAAATTGTAGAATTTATCAACTTATAAAGGTTATCTTAATTCTATTTCAAGATTCTATTTCATTGTAATTTAGTATCATATGCACAAGTGTGCCATATTCTCCACACTCATACTAAATACAAGTATGTATTTACATATTTACATATACAAGTATGTATTTAGCTATTTTGTAATTAGATGACATTACACAAGGGCCTAAAACTGTATCAAAAGATATTAACAAATAGATACAATGACACTTTGACACTGATTATAATCTGACAATGAGTGAGTTTGAAATATATGTTGCAATATTGGTCATGAGGCATTGCCAGATGCCATATTTGAAGTTAATTTAAATTTAAAATATATTTTCCATTTTATGTGATGAAAAGAGAACTTAAATAAAATAACATGTATCATTTTAAATCAGCTAATAATAGTATATTATTTAGGGACCACATCATTACTACTTCTGTTCACAAGGGTGAGGTTGAAAAAAAAAACGCAGTTGAACAATGCCACTGTATCGTGAGTGGCCGCCTTTAGGCAAGCCCCTCTTTCGTTTATCGGAGATGGAGATTTTGAGCGGTGTTGGCAATATCATTCCACTAGATGTTTCTAAAATAACTACAAACTCCTGAAATAACTACAAACCATTAAGTTTATTTTTGTTATTAGTCTGTTGTAGTAGATTGGTAAATACAATGAAAAATATAGGCAAATATCCGATTTATTTAAAGATACGAAGAAGATATAACTCTCAAAAAGATCCGCAAATCGGATTATTACACGGCGATTGGCAACATTGACTGAGCTGCGCTCTAGACTATGGTGCGTTCTAAAAAGAGACGGGATAGTTGAACGATATTTTATACAATGTCCAACACCGGGTTATGGATTTATTTTTGTCCAAGTTTTATATTGGTCCACTATTTCAATGCAGTTCAAACAGACATATCGCACACCAGCATGAAAAGTGTAGCAACTCAAAAATGTGAGTATTTGAGTTAAGGTCATATTTGAATTCCTCGAATAATTACCTATTCGCCAATAAAACTGCAGTAATTGTATTCCCCTAGTGTGTCACAGGTGGCGATGTAAGTCGGTTTTGCTGAATGATTACTCGTTCGCCCTCATTATAAAACCGCGCCATTTTTAGTTACGCTCCGACTTTCGTGCAGAGTGTACGGTTTCACAGTGTGGCATTTTGAGTTGCAACGGTTTTGGTGAGTAAACTTGATAAAACTACAATAATTATTTAGATTTAATACAATTTAGCTGATGTACTCAGATATTTTTACAGCAGCATTTTGAATTGTAGCAGTTTTGTTGCTTAAATTTTAATTTGTTTAAAGTTTATTTTGTTTTGCTACAGTTTTTAATGAACTATTTTTTGAATTTAGGGTTAAATCGGTATTAATGGTGAATTCATTTTGTAACGTTAATTTAGTTAGTTCTTGATATTTGGGATAATTTTGAATATTTTATGTTAACTATAAGAGATTTATTTTTATTTTATAGATTTTGGAATATTAAATTTTCATTTCAAATTAATAAAAAGATATTTTTGAGTTGCTTCACTTTTGACGGTTTAGTTTATTTATCGTTATTGTTTCAGTATAATGCCGAGCCGTGGCCGTTTATTGTTGACATGGCTTTACAAAAGCATGAAAATAAGAACATTAATAAAGATTCTTCCAACATTTCATCAGTTCAAAGTATTCCTTTGCATGACACCACAAATTCTTTAGAATTCAATTCAAAGGAATCTAATCAATATAGTCGTCAACATGATAAGTCTTCTTTTATGCCTGGAAATGAAAATTTACTACCCGACAATAGCATATATTTAAATGAAACTCCAACCATTTCCAACGAAAACACCTATAATCATTTATGTCTACCAAGTACTTCTAATATTGTTAATATGGATCAGAGAAAAAATTATTACATATCTCCCATTCGAAGTAACGAAAGCGATATAGATGATTCCGATGCTCATCCAAATTTTGATGTCTCTCCAGACAAATCATTCTCAAACAGATTAATTCCTACAACTAATAATTCTTCATCCAGCAGCAGCAGCAGTTCTTCGACTAGTTCTGACAGCTCCGATAGTGCATCTGAGTCTACAGTTTTGAATATTGGAGATAATGGAGAAAAGAAAGGAAAAAAAAGAGTCCGAAAACCTGAGAATTGGAAGACGAATGTAGCAAAACAGTTACGAAACTCAGGTAAGGCATACGTTTCTATGTCTAAGTCAAAAAAAGAAATTTCAGGAAGAATGGTTCGTGAAGGTTGTGGTGAATTATGTCGTTTGAGATGTAATAATAATATTAATATCGAAGATAGGCAACGCATTTTTAAAAATTATTGGGAAATGGCTGATCTTCAACGTCAAAGAGATTACATCTTACGACACATAGATGAAATCAAACCTAAGTACAGATATTCTAGCACCCAAAATTTAAGAGCACTGAATAAGGCATATTTTTTTGAAGTGAACGGTACTCGTATACGGGTTTGCAAAAAATTTTTTAAAGCTACACTTGATTTGAACGACAGGCCAATTGATACAGCGTTTACTAAGAAAACTAATTCTGGAATTGTTCAAGAGGAACTTAGAGGCAAACATAACAATCACCCCACTGTTGGCTCTGATATTATAAATAGTGTTATAGAATTTATAAATGATATTCCGAGAATTGAGTCACATTATTTAAGAGCCCAGACATCACGTGAATTCATACAGTCCGACAAATCATTATCAGATTTGTATAGAGACTATAAATTTACTCGTGAAAAAGATAACTTGCCCTTTCTTTCCCAAACAACTTTTAATCGTATCTTTCACACAGAATTTAACATATCTTTTTATATTCCTAAGAAAGATCTCTGTGATTTGTGTGAAAGTTATAAAAATGCTGATGTAAACGATAAACAAAAGTTACTTGAAAATTATGAAAATCATCTACGAGAAAAACAATTGGCAAGAATAGAGAAAGAAAACGACAAAAATAGGACTGATGTTAAAGTAGCTGTATACGATTTACAAGCAGTGATGCCTGTTCCTAAAGGCCAAGTGATATTGTTTTATAAATCCAGAATAAACTGTTTCAACTTTACGGTGAGTGATTTAAAAGCGAGAAATGTTACATGTTATTTTTGGGATGAAACAGAAGGTAAACGTGGTGCAACAGAAATTGGAAGCTGTGTACTGGCTTTCTACAAAATTTAATAGCTGATTATCATAATGAAGGTAAAAATTTAGATATCATTTTTTACTCTGATAATTGCTGCTGCCAGCAAAAGAATAAATATTTATTAAGTGCTTATGCATATGCTGTTTTTTACATGGGAATTAAATCTATTACACACAAGTTTTTGATTCGAGGGCATTCACAGAATGAAGGTGACAATGTTCACAGTGTAATAGAAAAACAAATTAAAAGACATGTTAAGTCGGGCCCCATTTACATTCTGCAACAGTATTCCACACTGATTCGTACTGCAAAAAAAACTGGTCCGCCTTATACCGTCGTGGAAATGACACATGACATGTTTTTTGATATCAAGGCATTGCAGGAAGAGTGGGGAACAAATTTCACTATGGATGAAGATAAAAACCAAGTTAAGTGGCATGACATAAAAATTCTTCGCGTTGAAAAAGAAAGTCCTGGAGTCTTTTTCTATAAAACGAGCTACTCTGATGTAGATTTCAAGAAAACGGAAGTACAGAAAAGGAAAGCTAAAGTAAATAGAGAATTATTTTCAGAAGGTTTAAAACTTATGTATAATAAAAAAATTCCATTACCTGATGCTAAAAAAAATGATATTAACGAACTTATTGAAAAAAAATATAATTCCGAAAACCTATTATGATAGTTATTATAAAAAAGTATTAGATTAGGCCTAATTAATGTATTGATGGCAGTTTATTTTTTTACATTGCGAATAGTATTTATGTTATTGTCAATATTCTGTTGTATCTCAGTTTAGTTTTTTCCAATTGTGGATAGTTTTTATGTTTTTGTCAACATTGTGTAAAAGTAATGACTGCTTTTGAATATTTTTTGTATAATATACTTTGTTTAAAATAAATAAAATAATTTTATAATTAAAATATGACTTTAATAATTACTTTTTCTGAAAGTTTCTTGTCTATTTCACTAAAAAAACTACAGTTTTGTGTTATGATTCACATTGACAAATTTAGATTAAAAGCGTTGCATCTTAATTTAATTGCAATAAAAGTGAATTAATTCAAAAAAATTTTGAAGTCATGACGGTTTTCATTTTTCGAAAGTGTAATAAGTCAAAAAATCTCACTTTTTTCTATTAAAAATGCAAGATTAATACTCATGTGATACCAAAATACTTCGTAAACCAATGTGCTTCCAATATGATTTACAAAAGCTTTTAAATCTTTTATTATATCGAGTAGATTAGATTTTTTCAATTTGTCGAAAAAGTGGTTTTTTGAGTTACTACACTTTTAATATAGGTGTGCGATATATTAAATTGTATGATCCGTTTTAAATTCGTTCAATCTGTATACAGAAAGAATAGTCATCCATCCATAGGCTTTAACTTTGCAAGAACTCCCTGAATAATTTTAACTCAAGAAATTGTCTATAATGTTGGAGTTCACTCTCTGTACAATTTTCAAAATTCGAGACGACTGCATCTGTTTTGATATCAGTAAAAGTCTAATACTGTCTGACTAGGAATATAAGACAATGC